CTACGAGAAACACGTAGAGTGCTACGTAGATCCACGGGAAATTCTATGCATTTTTTTACAATTTCGACGAAATATGAAGCTTGGGGTAAATCAATTATGTAGTCTTCGGTGGCAACTCGTCGGAGCCTCCCATACCATCCTGCCAGCTCTTGCGAATCGACGCCAGTCGACGCTAAATCGACGCTAATCGTCGCTACCCACACACACATATATATATATATATGTTGCATGCATTTACACAGATAACTATAAATACATACATCTATAGATAGAAACGCCAATCGACGCTCACCGACGCAAGAATCGGCACTATCTCATCGACTCCCAGACGCTAATCGACGCTGGAGACGGAATCGAAATAACATACGAGGCTCCCATGATCTGCTGCCGAAGCAGTCGATTCCCCATTCGAAGGGCGCCCCTCGCGGGGCCCCGCCCCCGGGGGGCGCCAGAGCGGCGCGAATAGGTGGGGACACCCTCCCCAATGGGCGCGTCTCTGGCCCATCCCTCGAGGAGGAGGGTGGCCACACTGGGGTGGGGGTGCGATCCCTGTGTCGAACACACATGCAGAACAGAAAATCCACTCTCATCTTGAGCACCCCGACAAGCGAAGCAGTTTAGTAAACGCGCCCAAGGAAGGAATGGAACAGGGCAGGGCTGTTCAGTAAACGCCCAGGGCCGTTTAGTAAACGACAAATGTCGGGGTCTGGGTGGTTTTCCCTCCCTTAATACATCCGACGTCGCATTTGTTTCGCAACGTGACGTCAAAAAGGTCTAGACCCCTTCCTGGGAACCGGCTGTTCATCCCGAGGTGTGTTTTGACACCCCTATGGGCCGTCGCGAGACCCCAGAAGCGAAAACCCTTTAACAGCTGGAGGCAACAAGGCACCCCAGCGGGCTAGAATTTCGAGGCGGATCCAGCCGTAGTAGTGGCGATGGGAGCGGCGCCCCCAAAGGCCTGGAAGAAATGACAGACTCTAATTATTCACTGCGTGGAGCTCCGCATCTGTGCATCTTTTTGCATGGACCTTTCCACCGTGAGTGCCCAGGCGCAAGACACTTCGAATACAAACGGGCTTCAGTATTGATAGACTGAGAATGAATATACCTTTGAATGAGTTGGAGTGTGAATGAGCCGCAGTAATACGAGTGAGTCGGTGCGCATGAGCCTGTGGCCTCCTGGGGCTTCCTGAAGCCTCCTGGAGCCTCGTGCGGCCTCCTGGGGCCTCCTGCTGCTTTCTGGAGCTTCCTGGGGACTCCTGGGGCCTCCTGAGGCCTCGTGTGGCATCCTAGGACCTCCCGGGGCCTCCTGGAGCCTCCTGGGGCCTCCTGGGATGGATTTTGCCCCAGGAGAAGCCCAATCTGTAGGAACATTCGCCAAGCACCTTGCATTGGAGCCACAGGAGAGGGGCACTCTATAGAAACACGCGTAAAACACAAGGGCTTCGTGCACCAAGGCAGGCCCAATCTATCCTATAGGAACCTACGTGAAACACTTCTGATTGGAGACGCAGGAGAAGGATTCTCTATACATATATATATATATATATATATATATATTTATGGGAGCCCCCCCCCTCTGAGATCTACCTCAACCACCTTTTTTCGATAACGCGCTCTCCAGCCGCTGATGGGAGAGCGAGATGGCGGGAGAGGTGGAAATTCGGGAGGAGTGGGAAGGCGGGAGAGCGGGAGAGCGGGAGAGCGGGAGAGCGGGAGAGCGGGAGAGCGGGAGAGCGGGAGAGCGGGAGAGCGGGAGAGCGGGAGAGCGGGAGAGCGGGGGAGCGGGAGAGCGGGAGAGCGGGAGAGCGGGAGAGCGGGAGAGCGGGAGAGCGGGAGAGCGGGAGAGCGGGAGAGCGGGAGAGCGGGAGAGCGGGAGGCGGGAGAGCGGGAGAGCGGGAGAGCGGGAGAGCGGGAGAGCGGGAGAGCGGGAGAGCGGGAGAGCGGGGGAGCGGGCGGGAGAGCGGGAGAGCGGGAGAGCGGAGAGAGCGGGAGAGCGGGAGAGAGCGGGAGAGCGGGAGAGCGGGAGAGCGGGAGAGCGGGAGAGCGGGAGAGCGGGAGAGCGGGAGAGAGCGGCCCCGGCCGCCCCGGCCCGCCCCCTGCTCTCCCGCTCTCCCGCTCTCCCCGCTCTCCCGCTCTCTCCCGCGACGCTCTCCCGCTCTCTCCCGCTCCCGCTCTCCGCTCTCCCGCTCTCCCGCTCTCCCGCTCTCCCGCTCTCCCGCTCCCGCTCTCCCGCTCTCCCGCTCTCCCGCTCTCCCGCTCTCCCGCTCTCCCGCTCTCCCGCTCTCCCGCTCTCCCGCTCTCTCTCCCGCTCTCCGCTCTCTCCCGCTCTCCCGCTCTCCCGCTCTCCCGCTCTCCCGCTCTCCCGCTCTCCCGCTCTCCCGCTCTCCCGCTCTCCCGCTCTCCCGCTCTCCCGCTCTCTCGCTCTCCCGCTCTCCCGCCCGCTCTCCCGCTCTCCCGCTCTCTCGCTCTCCCGCTCTCCCGCTCTCCCGCTCTCCCGCTCTCCCGCTCTCCGGCCCTCTCGCTCTCCCGCTCTCCCGCCCTCCCGCTCTCTCGCCCTCCCGCTCCAGGCGCGAAGAGGAGGAGGACGATGATGACGATGATGATGAGGAGGAGGAGGAGGAGAAGGAGGAGGAGGAGGAGGAGAAAAATAATCAAAGAGGAGCAGGAGGAGGAGGAGGAGGAGGACGACGACGACGAAAGGTGGGGACGCAGGAGGATAAAAAAGGGAGAGGGGCCTCTGCATGGCTTGGGCCTGTGTGCGTCCAGTGACCGCTGGCACAGTAGGGGAAACTCCCCAGACCCATCCTTTGATACCTTGGGCAAGCCGTAGCTTGCAAGCGAGGCATGCCGCTCCAGAGTGCCCGCGTGATGAGATTGGTGTGACGATCCTTTTCCCATAGCATTCGCAGTTGAAGTCCGAGTAGGGCTCTCAGAATTGAGAGTCCGCGTGATAGACCAGGCAAATCCGTTCACAATGAGGCCGAATGATGATGATGAGGAGGAGGAGGCGGAGGAGGGCGACGACGTCAGTCGCCTGGCGCTGAACCCTTCGGGGCTCGTGCCAGGTGCGAGCAGCGCTGAACCCTTCGGGGCTCGTGCTACTCCAAGTGGGAGCGCTGAACCCTTCGGGGCTCGTGCTCCCAGTCACCTGGCGCTGAACCCTTCGGGGCTCGTGCCAGGTGCGAGCAGCGCTGAACCCTGCGGGGCTCGTGCTACTCCAAGTGGGAGCGCTGAACCCTTCGGGGCTCGTGCTCCCAGTCACCTGGCGCTGAACCCTTCGGGGCTCGTGCCAGGTGCGAGCAGCGCTGAACCCTTCGGGGCTCGTGCTACTCCAAGTGGGAGCGCTGAACCCTTCGGGGCTCGTGCTCCCAGTCACCTGGCGCTGAACCCTTCGGGGCTCGTGCCAGGTGCCAGCAGCGCTGAACCCTGCGGGGCTCGTGCTACTGAGTCGTGTTGTACCGTCTTGATTATCATTCATACACTCATTGTGCCTTGTGAATAAGGGGCCACTAACGCCAATTTTGTTTTTTAGGTCCCGGGGCCCGCCTTTGAAAATCTGAAGATTTTGCATTGAAGCGCTGCCAGGGCATTTCCAGCCACGAATTCCTGACGCGTTTCGTATGTTTTGTCTCGTTGATTTTTGTTGCACGGTATTTGGGGTTCCGGAGCATTGTTTCTCACTCCCGGGAGCCCTCCGGTGCCCGACAAAAATGACGATGACGATGACGATGCTACGCCGAGGACGATGACGATACTACGCCGAGGACGATGAGGATGATGATGCGGATGCTGATGCTGATGATGATGATGATGCCGATGCGGATTATGATGATGGTGATGATGATGAGGAGGAGGAATAGGGTGACGATGGTGATGCTGCCGATTCTGCTGCTGATGATTATGCTGATGATGCTGCTGATGATGAGGGAGGAGGAGGAGGAAGAGGAGGAGGAGGAGGAGGAGGAGGAGGAATGAAAAGTATGAGGAACGAGGAGCGAGGAGCGAGGAGACATCAGGAAATCGTTCTCGCACGCTTTCTCCGAGCATATCTCGTGGCGGATTCTGAAGTGCCGCTTTGTCTACCGCGCTTGTCATATAATGCATCTTTGAAACCCCGACTCCGACGTCACCCCCAGGGGCGCGAAGATAATCGCGCCTCGCGCCTCGAGGCCTGGGCTGGAGAGCTGGGCATAACAGAAACGAGAGCCAGTGAACACATTTATGTATGGTGTGGGTTGTTTTTTTTTTTTTCTCGGGGTGAAGCCGTGCACGAAACCCTATACATGTCAAGCGGCTCTGGGATCTCTAATCCAGACTTGCCCGAGGCCAGAGCATAACTCGCCTCCTCGACTCGCAGCTTCCCAGCCCGCTGAGCTCGGATCTCGGCCGACGGAATACACAGGGGCCCAAGCTTAGGAGATAGGGTTAAAGTCGAATTCGGATAGAGGCTTCTCCTGATCCTACTACGCTGGGTGCCTAACCCAGGATAGAAGAGGAGGAGGAGGAGGAGGAGGGAGAGGAGGAGGAGGAGGAGGAGGAGGAGGAGGAGGCGGAGGAGAATGAGGAGTAGCAGGAGGAGGGGACGGAGGATATTAAGGAGAGATTTTTGAGGCCTCCTGCGAGCCTCTTAGGGTCCGCACGGCGGCCGAAAGGCCACCGAAAGACTACCGAAATGCTACCGAAGGCTATTGGAGGGCTACGGAATGCTACCGAAGGCTACGGAGGGCGACCGAAAGGCTACGGAGGGTACCGGAACGCTACCGAAGAGCTACCAGAGAGTTACAGGCGAGCTGCCGCAAGATCGGCGAGGCAATCGAAAATCAAAAACTCTCCTTGTAAGGATGTAGTGTTGTGTGTTGCTTGGGTGTGTGGGGGTATTCTATGGAGATCGCCGCGGATGCGTTGAGTTGTTAGCATTGTTAGTGGAAGCTGTAACGTTGAAGTGCATTTCTATTGCAAATGTGTAGGCCTCAAACCACTAGGGAAATTTTCTTCTGTGAAGGGGGAAACGCTCGCAAATTTTCAAAAACGGTGTTTTTCACACCGCCGTAGCACTACAACGTGCTACGTAGCACTACGCAGTGCTACGGTTAAGATACGTAGCATCACAAGGGCGCTGCTTGGAGCTACGGGAGCAGATGCTGCGTTATATGTGCATCACCCCCATGAGCACCCGCCCCAACACAAGCATTACGAAGTGCTGCTACGACTAGTGCTATTACTACCACTAGCGAGCTGGCGAGCAGCCAGCCAAGCGAATCCGTGTACGTAGATAGACACGGTGCACAGCGACACCACGCCAGCAATGACGCCACGCAGGCAACCAACAAGCGGGGAACCTACACGGAGGAACAAGTACCACTCACAACAGCAAACAAAGCACGACTGACAGCAGAAAACACAAAGAGCGACCAAGCGCAGAAATGCACAGAGCAATTCGGAACGACTAAAAGCAGAAACGCAAAGTGCGAATTCTGGCCGCGCGCCCGTACAAACGCGGGGCATCCTGTTTTGGATGCCCCCGTTTTGGAGGTCGGGGTTGCGGGAGGGAGTGGTCCCATGTGATTGATGAAGCACAACGGATGTCAATAACATCGATATTCATTACCACTGTTTCGCACGTCGTTTATCGGCTCAAGCACCCCGTTCGATCGGGTTTTCATTGTGGCAATTTGCGCCCTTTCATATCCCTGCTCTTGCGAACCACAATGGCGTTCGAGTGGGCGTTCGTCACTGACGTCGGCCCTGGCGCTGCCTTGCCGCCTGACACGGCGTGGCGCAAGCTCAGCGCCCGACAGAGCAACCGCGCGGCTGCTGGCCAGGACGGCGAGACGCATTCTGAAATGGAAAACAATGGCGCCAAAGGTTTGTTACAAACCTGATGCGCGGTACTTTAAGTCTTCTTCGTGCTTCGGAAAAGACAGACATCCGGCGACGACTGCGCTGGTCGGCTGATCTTTTCTGCGGCGGCAGCAAGAAGACGGCGTGCATTTCAACGGCGTTCGGAGAAAAAACATAAGGACCGCATCTACTGTTGCATCGGCGGCTGGCCCATCAGGTTCAGGGCTATGCTCGCTTATTGGACAATCGGGGAACAGCCTCCACGGAGGCCGCTGCAGACGGCGAGCAGCGGCCACTGAAGAGTCTCCTTCGAAAGTACGTGAAGCAAGGTTATGGGCGACTTCATACAGTGGGCCCTTCTCTGCAGAAGATAACCAGGGAAGCTCGGTGCGCCGCTCTGGCTGGGATTCCAGGAGGCGTTTTAGAACTTGACATAAAGGTTGCGTTCTTCAGCTTGTTGGTTGTGGCCTTAAAGCGGCACGAGCAGATCTGCGTCGAGGCAGAGTTCCCACTGCTGTGCGACATCGCCAGCAACTGGGGCGGGTGGAAGAGTTTTGTCTCTGGGTACTTCGACGTCGGGGTGGACGTCACCAAGAAGCTTCTCATCTCGGCGACCAGTCCCTACGGGCGGCAATCGCCAGATCCAGCGCAGCGGCCTGACTGGCTTCCGCATTTGGATTGCGTGCAAACAGAAGCATCGAATGCCTGTCGATTTCTTCTCGAGCACGACGCTCTTTATCAGGAAGTTGCGAAAGCAAGGCCTGAATGCAGCTCGCTCCACATCTTTCTGGGCGAGCTGGAGTGCCGGGTGATGATGAGCATGAAGCATATTTTAGAGGAAGCAGGGGCCGTGCCAATTTCTCTGGTCTACGACGGCATCTACTTCAGGCCAATGGGGCTTGACGTGCACGACGAGGGCTTCATCGGACTTGTGACTGCAGTCGAAGCCGAGCACGGCGTATCCTTGCATCTGAAAGACCTAAGCGGCGCGGAGATACCCTGGAGGAGTTCCGCTCCCGAGCCTGGAGAAGGGGCCCGAGGTCAGGGTGGCGCCCCTCCTTCGCCGCCGTACCACAACGATTTCTCTTCTCTCCTGGCGGCAGCTTGCGAGAAGTCGCAGCAGAAGCTCCAGGCTGTCCCCGGAGAAAATATGTGCGCTGTGAGCGCGCTCGCCAATATGGATTTGGTTGCGGGGGAGCCGAGCCAGTCAAAGTTCGCCTGTGGACCATATTCTTACCGACAGTTGCAACATATTTATCCTTCTCTGGCGTTCCAAGAGGCGCAGCTGAGCGACGTGATCTGCGCCGACGCCGCCCACTTCTTCCTGTTGCACATTGGGGCGCCAGGAACTCGCGGCCACGCTGTTGGTCTTCGCGCCCACGGGGACTCGCAGCAGATGCTGGTGTTCGACTCGCACCAGGACTTCGTGATGCAGATTGGCGATGAGGCCTTGTACGACCTGGTTACCCAATGGGACGAGGGCCGACGCCATGCTCGCCTGCTGCAAGTTACCGAAGACGGGCCTGTCGATGGCAACGCCGAGTCAGATTTGTTGGAATTGATTGCTGGCTCCTCTCGGCCGTGCGTGAAGAAGCCTGCGGGTCAAGGTTGCTTGAGGCGGCCCGCCGAAGCTCCGAGTTTCCCGACGCCCAAGAAAGGGCGGGCAAGGGCCGCCGCCCGCAGCCTGGTCGGGCGAACGGCAAAGGCGTCAGCGAAGTCTAAGGCATACAGGAACACGAAGTACGTGCGCCACGGCAAGCCGACGACGAAGAGCAGGGGCGACCGCGACAAGTGGAGCATCGACCTTGAATCCATCTTGGAGATGCCTGACGATAAGCTCTACCGCCGGTGCATCCGCGATAACATCCTGGACAACAAGCAGGGCAAGATGTGTCTTCACTGCTGCAAAGGTTTGGCGGCTGGGAATCAACGCAAACACGCTCGCTGCAGACGGGGGGAGGGGGCTTGGGGATGAGGGGTCGCGAGGTTGGCGGGCGTGGCCGTTGGTTCCCACTGCGCCTAGAGGTAGACTCGGCTGTCTTCGCAAGGTGAAAGGCCGCGGCCTTCGGTACAGGTGCAACCGCAAGGGCTGTCAGAAGTTCACTGTTCCACATGCTCATCACCCCGTCTTCTCTACTGGGTGGGGGGCCACGCATTCGCCTTTCAAGAAGCAGGTGGCCATCTTGTTCAGCATTCTAGCAGGAGGAAGCAATCCCACGATTCGCAGATTGATCTCTTCCGCAAACCACAAGGCGATCGAAAGGATCTCGATTGCCGTGAAGAAGCAGCGCGAGAAGTTTGTCAAGAAGCGAGAGAAGACGATCGTTTTCGGGGTTGACAACGACCGCGACTGGAGGGACGCTGAAGCAGATGAAGCAGTCTTTGGAAGGGCAGCCAAGGCGGACGACCCCGAGAGCGTGGAATGGGAGCAATGGGCGGGCATCGTGGAGCGAGGCCGGCCCGAGTCGCTGGTGCTGGCGAAGACTACCGCGGCTCCCACGGTGAAGAGGGCTCCTGGGCCAGGCGCAATCAGGAAGGTCGATTGGGCGCCTCTGGCAAACCGCTACTTGAAAGGTAGGCGCATTATTTTGCATACGGACCGCGCTAAGAGCTACGCCATGCGAGTTGAGGGAGTGTTGCACGATTCAGTGCGGCACTGCAAAAAGAGAGCGAAAAAGAATGGCAAGTGGGTGTGGATGAAGCCGTGCTACGCGCGCTTGGCAACTCATAAGCTTCCATGTGGTAGGAAGTTGCGCACCAAGGCCGGCTCCCAGGTTATCGACAGCGCTTGGAAATACATCCGCTCAACCTTGGGAGGCCAGACAATGGTGCCCAATTCTGAGACGGCCGCCACTGCAATTCGCAGCGCCCAGTGGCTTTACTGGCACAGGGGCAAAGACCTTTGGGCCGAGATGGGATCCACGTTCTGTGCCAACTTTTGGCGGAGGTAAATTGTTACTGCAAACTTGGACAGCGATGGTGTCCTCGTACTTCTTTGCTTTGAAAAGGGCTTCAAGGTAGATCTCACAGGGGGGGGCACGCATATATATATATATATATATATATATATATATATATAGATATAGATATAGAGAGAGAGAAACAGACGTAATACAGTAAAACATCGTGTCCCAGGAGAGCCCCAATCGATAAGGGCATACGTAAAACACTTGGGATTGGAGCCACTCCTGCGCGTAAGTCTGAGTGCGAGTGAGCCTGAATATGAGTATGATGAGTACGAGTCTGCGTAGAGTGAGTCTGAGCACGAGTAAGTTTGAGGATACCACTTGGGGTGTTGAAACGAACGCCTCGCCCGAGACATTCTCATAATCTACTCTGAACGCAGACGAATGTGGCCACCAAGAAACAAGCAAACCGCTCGAGACATCCTCAACAACTGGCCCCCCTGTGGTACGAAAACCAGCGCCCCGCTCGAGACACCCTCAACATCTGCTCCGAAAGCCGAAGATGCTGCGCTGGCAAACAGGCAAAGCGCTCGAGACATCCCCGCCATTTTGGCGCGAACGGAGGAATGCAAAACCCCATGGCAGCTCTCCCTTGTGGGTGCTTAAACTCGCGCCTCGCTCGAGACATCCTTAACATCTGCTCCGAAAACGGATGATACCAAAGGTTTTGTTGGTTTTGTTTTTTATATAAAGAATCAATAAATAAAAAAAGGCTCCAGACATCCCCGCCATTATGGCGCGAACGGAGAAGTGAAATACCCCCTGCCCACTCCCCATTGAGGGTGATGAAACCCGCGCCTCGCACGCGACATCATCAGAATTTGCTACGCCGTCATCATCATCATCATCATCCTCATCATCATCATCATCATCATCATAATCATCATCATCAGCATCATCACCATCACCATCATCATCATCATCATCATCATCATCATCATCACCATTACTACCATCATCATCATCAGCATCACCATCTTCATCATTATCATCATCACCACCATCACTAGCACGTTAATAACATAGCATAGCATACCATGACAAACAATGACATATCATGGCATCACATACCATAACATGTCATAACATAGCATGCCATACCATAGCATACCCTAACATACCAACGCATAGCATGGCACACCATAATATAAGTAACGACACATACTATACCCCATTTATCGTACCATAACACGATAAGGAAGACGCTGAGGGGTGAGTGAGTCGGCTCGGTCGGTAACAACAATCACACCATCCCTTGGAGATGGGGAACAAACAAAATCTGGCCTCGAGGATTCGAACTGGACGTCAGGGAGCCCAATCATCCAATGTCTTGCTTTTCTCAAAACATACGGGGTCCCCAGAAGTCCCGTTCCCTTTCTCCAAGGCCCAAACACCATCCCCTGCAATTGTTTGACAATCGCCGGGGCCCGGCGAGGAACCTGGAGGCCGAAAACTGCAGACACCTCCCGCGTGATTCTTTTGCACACGCGAGCATCTCGGAGAGAACACCGCATAAACAATAAGTTTCGGAGGCCCGCGCGGGTTTCTTTGATCGGCGCCTCCCCGGTGCGCGGAGCGCGCTGGCCGGAGGCGCCGCCAAGGGGGGCCCACCGCCGATCCAAGACATCCGCGCGGACTGCTTATGCGTTGCTTGTTGCCTTCGAGTGTCCAAGGAGGGAGCAGGTGTCGGGGCGGACGGAAGCGTAGGATAGCAAAGGGCATGGCAGAGTGCTTACTCCGGATGGGAGAATAATCGCCCCCTCCCTTGGGTTCGGGGGGATGGGCGCGTGCCGTCGGGGGGGGGGATTGGGGAGGGGATGGCGGTTTTGAAGCTCAAGCTCCTGGGCCTAGTTCGGGGGGGAAATGGGACGAAGTCGAAGGGCGGTGGGGGGGGGGGGGACTGGGACGATCCGTCGGAAGGATATATTATCGCCCACCCGATCATTGCGGCCATGCGCTGGACCCCCACGCGCGGCGCCAGAGGCGCCGCCGCGGGGGCCCATCGCAGATCCAAGAAATCCGCGCGGAGCGCCAAAGGTTTATGTTCATGGCAATTTCTTCTCCGAAAGATGCCGCTGCCTGCTGCCTCCGAGTGCCCAAGGAGGAAACCCGTGGAGGAGAAGGAGAAGGAGGAGGAGGAGGAGGAGGAGGAGGGGGAGGAGGAACAGGAGGAGGAGGGGGGAAGGAGGAGGGGGGGGGGACAAGCTAGGTGCGCTCGCGTCAAATCTGACATCCTACCCCTCCCCCCCATCCCTTACCATGGCGCAAATGCCCTCTCTACTCGCACAGTCGGATGTCGAGCAGGGCAATGATCCCGAACATGTACGCGATGCACTGTAGAGCGGCATGGCATGGCGTAGAAGAGCACCGCGAAGCGTAGTATCAACCTAGCATTGCATTGCATGCCGTGGCATGCCACGGGAAATGACGCCAACGCTGCAGCGGGAGCACGAGTCGAAACGAGCGGAAACGCGGAAATGAGGCCAACGCTGCAGCGGGAGCGCGATTCGGAACGAGCGGAAGTACGCCAGAATCGGCCCGGGAGGTTTCCCGCGCGCCAGAAACAGAAACTCAGCGTTTTCAAAACAAAAAAGGTGTTGGAATGGCATTTTTTCGGCGCCGCCTCGGAACTCGATTTTCCGGCGCCGGCCGGAACAATCTCTGGACCCGGCCCGGGCGCCGGCCCGGGCGCCGGCTCGGGCGTCTGGCCCGGGCGCCGGCTCGGGCGCCAGCCCGGGCGTCGGAATCGGCCCGGGAGGTCTCGGCGCCGGAAGCAGAAATTGAGCATCTTCAAAGGAAAAATGTGTATTACATAGCCTTTTTTCGGCGCCGCCTCGGAACTGGATTTTCCGGCGCCGGCCGGAACCGGCTCCGGACCCAGCCCGGGCGCCGGCCCGGGCGTCGGCTCGGGCGTCTGGCCGGGGCGCCGGCTCGGGCGCCAGCCCGGGCGTCGGAATCGGCCCGGGAAGCCCCGGTCGCCGGAAGCAGAAATGAACCATTTTCAAAAGAAAAATGTGTATTAGAATGGCCTTTTTTCGGCGCCGCCTCGGAACTCCATTTTCCGGGGGCGGCCGGAACCGGCTCCGGACGTCCGGCCCGAGCGCCGGCCCGGGCGTCGGTTCGGGCGTGCAGCCCAGGTGCCGGCGGAAATGAGGCCAGCGCTGCAGCGGGAGCACGATTCGGAACGAGCGGGGCCCGAAAATGAGGCTGGCGCCTCGGCGAAAGCAGCATTTTGGAACAAATGCAAGCGAAAACCTAACTCCGGGGAAACCTGTGTGTACAAAAAAGAATACGCGGGGGGGGGGGGGGGGGGGGGGGCGAACACTCCCAAGATGTCATCAGGGGAAGAAGGAGAGTAGTATTCATATTGGGTAATTGTGGAGGGGGGGGAGGAGGGGAGGAGGAGAGGAGGAGGAGGAGGAGGAGGCGGAGGAGGAGGAGGAAGAGGAGGAGGAGGAGGAGGAGGAGGAGGAGGGGGGGGGGAGGGGGAAGAGGGGGAGGAGGAGGGGGAGGAGGCGGAGGAGGAGAGGCAGGAAGAGGACGTTGGGCCCGCACGGAAGGTTACTCCGACATTGCTTGTTGCCTCCGAGTGCCCATGGAAGCACCGGGCGAAGGAGGGAGCGCTCGGCCGCGGGGGGGGCGCGCCTCGCCCACCAGGCCCTCCACCACGGCCAGCAGCGACGCGTGCGCCTCGGCGCGGAGGGGGCGGCAGAGAGCGCAGGGCAGGCCATCGCCCCGTTCGGCGACCCAGCGCGCGTTCCTGGTTGACGCGCAAAGGGGTGCAGCTGAATGGGGGTGGTGCCACAGATCAGGGCAGATGCGTGTTGCAAACGCACTGCGCCAAGAGAGTACTGCCCTGCATCGTGTCGCAGCTGATGCACTGCACACAAAAACACCAGCAGTACGCTTGCGCCCCAGAATGTATTGCACGCCTCGACTCTACTGCAACCCCAAAAATCAATCGCACCAAATATATTGCACCACCACCTTGTAGCTGACTGCCTACCAGACCACCCCAACCCAACCCGAACACCCACATTTCGGGTTTGGGGGGGTACGAGTTCCATCTGTGTGTTCCCACTGTTCCCCGACGCCCCTCCCACTGGGAACGGAAGGCAAAGTGGGGCCTTCGGGTGGGTTCGGGTTGTTTGTTGGCGGCGAGCGCGGGGGGGAAAAGGGAAGGAGCGGGTCTTCTCTGAAGGCTCGAAGTGCCCCGGCCTTCTTGGACATTTTCTAAGCTTTCCCCGAAGACAAGGAGCAACCTCCAGAGGCCCGCCGAAAAGCTCAACGAAAGCCTCCGGAGGCCCTTCAAGAGGGCCCCAACAAACGACAATATGTTCATGTTCATTAGGAAAGCGTGCATTTCTGGCATAGACGACGCTCGGAGGTTCAAAGCGTCCAAGACTGCCCAAGAGCCCCCCAAAATCGCCCCAAGATGGCCCAACATGCCCCCAAGATGCGCCCAAAAAAGGGGCCAAGAGAGTCTTCCTCTGAGAATCGGGGTAAGATGCCAAAAGAAATAAGATCGCATGTTCACTCTGCTCAGGGAGAGAAGGGACGGGATGAGACATTGATAAGACAAGTATCCGGTAAGCGAATTTACAATATCAGGAACGTGAAGGGAGGAGGCCGGCTGGCCTACGACCGACGACGGACGACGGCCGCGGGCTGGCGCGCTCCTTCTCTCTCCTGCAAGCAAACGAAGGCTTGCTTGAGTAAACAAACAGCTGCAATATGCAGCGCAAGTTCAAGTCAGACAGTGCACAGCATGCAAGTATGTATATAAGTGATAATATCATGAGGCGGAGAAGAGCATATTTACTCCCCCCGCGGCGGGCCTCGTAGAGCCCATCCGGCCACAGCACCCCTGGCCTATACATATACACAACCACCGGAGCCAACCCCAAAAACTTTTACGGCTCAACGCTGGCTGCCAAGGGTCTAAGGGCCGAAGAGGCCCGACGACCCCCACCATCACTTAAATAAATTCTCTCCGCTGGACCGGCTTAGCCGACCAGTGTAGTTGATTGCCCATCCAACACGCGTGCCGCGCGTGGATGAGGACTTCCACGCGCGCGCCTGCGGCGACTAAGTCACGCGGGCGGATCTCCGCCCAGCACATTCCACGGGTTCTCCTCTTCCACGGGCGGCGCTGGGGGCGGCGGGCTCGACGACGCCGAACCTCCAGTCTGTCCGTCTCCGCCGCGAGGCGAGCGGGGCCGTCCCTTTCCTTTGCTAATATGATCAGCAGCACTGTAGCTCTTCTCCTTGTTCTTGGACGCCTTCCCCTTATTCGGCGGGAAGTGAGCGTCGCGCTCAAACTTAGACAGTGCATGCCACAGTCCCAGCGTCCACCATTCCTCGTCGGACAACCACGTGATCCGGTCCCGGTGGACGTAGTGCCCGACATGAAAATCGCTCACGTAGCGCGGGGAGGACACGAGCGGGTCGTAGTCAGCAGCGCCGCGGCCCGCATCCATGGCTCCATCGCGCGCGCGCCGGGGCGCCGACCGATCCCAAGCTTTGGAATGCCTTGAGTATTCTTCTCTCGTCGTCGCGGCTGAGCCGGCGACAGAACGCGGAGATTCGGTAGCGTCATCGGAAGCCCGAGCGTCTGAGACGTCGGGTCGAAGCGGTCGAGGTGCTGTTGGTGGTCTGACTTCTACCTCGTCCTGTGCCCTCGATCATTGGTCCGACGGGATCGTCTTCGCCGCCGTGGTGTGGTTTGTCGCGTCTGTTTTCACGATCTCGCATAAATGTTAGCACGCTCCTAGCAGCGGTAGCTACTGGGATGCCATATATTCCGCATGCAGTGCGGAACGGTCCTGTGTCTATATCCTGGAGCTCTGTCCCAAGATCAATATATTTTTCCTGAAGCCAAGAAATGGCTTCTTGTATCAGAGCACCGTTGCAACGGACGTCAGTCTGCACCTTCCTGCCCAGATTGCGGGCCCACTCCTCTATGATGTCGTCCGTCTGAACGGCGGCGCGAATGAGGCAGTCAAGAGCATATTCATCTTTCCGTCGCATCTTAGCAACGGGGTCCGTGTTCGCTTTGTCGGGGCGAATTATTCGCCCCGGGTAACCGATATAATATCCCTCCGAAATGAAGGAACCCATGGTCATGCGAACGATCGCAAAAGTTCTTATGGGCCGAAGACTCAATTGCATCTGCTGTACGGAGGCCAACCAGTTTCCATCAACTATGTCCTTGACAATTGATGGGGCCTCATGTTCCACTTCCCCTAGCAGTGGCATCCTTCCGGGATCACTCGGGCGCGTGCCCGTGCATTCGATAACACATTATGCTGCAATCGCCCGAGCCTCTATCCCGAACAGAGTTACTTTTACCGAAGGGTCCTCGCAGTGGTTGTATACATATCCGTCGGCCTGATCGAGGTCGATCACTCCTTCGGTTATCAGCGCAGCCTTAGGCCCGCTGATTGCCGAGAAGTCCAGTCCCATTTGTGATTGTTCGCCTGCCCTCGCGGCTTCGCCGGTTGCAGGTAGCAGCGCTGGTGCTATGAGGCGATGGTCTCGACATCTGTTGATCCATATTGCTAGGGACTGAGACCTGCGAGTCGGCCACGCCCGGAAATTGTTCTCCCAGACGACCGGCAACCGTCCGCGAGGGTTTTGCCCTCTAGGGTTTTCCCCTACGTCTTCCACGACGTCTTCGCTTTGCACAGGCAACCATGGCGCCCCCAAGGCCACCGCTTCATCAATCGTTTGAAGTGTCGGGGCGAAGACATTCGCGCTAGTCATGTCGCTGCACCATCTCCCCCAGCCTCTCACGGGTTCGACTAAGTCGCCCCGTGCATTTGGCCAGTCGAAGGCGGCCAGAGCTGGATAAGATATTGGGCGAGCATATTGGTCAACATTCGTCTTCCATGGCAGCGGCCACCAGGTATTGATCGCAGGGGTCTGCCTTCGCACCCCATTGGCTGAGTATTCAAGCCATCCTATAAATCTTCTGACCAAGGCCGTGGCGCGCCGGTGGCTGAGCCATGGCGTCCTCTGGCACCCAAGCGGGGAAATTTCCTGGCAGGCTGTTGCCGAGTCGGGCCCGCTGCCGCCATTGTTTTATTTCCCGTTCGCCCATTTTCGCTCCTGCTGATGATTACTGCTGACGCTCTTCATTACAAGTGCAGAAGCTCTCTGTCGTCTATCCCCGCGCATTTTGATCCATTGGGGACGACGGCCCCAGGGGAGATCATGTTGATTATTCACCTGTAATGCAAGTCCATGCGCCTCAAGGGACCGCGGGATTATTTCTTGATGCCATGTCTGAGACATGTAATCATGTGTGACTCTGCGCTTGCATTTGATCCGACAGCTGCAGACGGGGCAATGTTCGAAGCCCGTTCGCACCCAGCGATAACGGAAGCATGGGAACCTTCCATCATCTTCCCAAGGGGCGGATAGAACCCGTTCCTGTATTTCGGGCGACAGCTGTGGCTGACGATTGCAAGCCAACAACAGAGTCTCGTCTGTGTGGATCCAAGCAATAATCGGCTCGTTGTCGAAAGTCACTTCGTACGAGGCCCACTCGCGATTGAAAAGTACCGACCGACGCATCTGGTCCGCGTGTCTAACGAGAGAGACGGCTTTGTCAATGTCGGTGAATTTCGGCACCTCTCGGGACACCAGGGCCCCGCCTGGGTAAACCCTATGTGAGAAGCGAGTGAGCACTCGGCCGGTGAAAACAAGAACAAGTTCCCAGGACTCGCGGTGGTTGGGAAGTTGTTCCCATAGGTGGATGGTGTCGTCTGCGTGCCATGTCCCCACCGATGGCGGTTCTCCTGCCAGTGCCGCCTTTCCCATGGGCACAAAACTCCTCGCAGGGAGAGGCCCCCCGTACCACCGCTGACTGAGCCTCGGAGGGATGCGAGTGGGATCAGGCGTTGTTGGGCTCCTTCTCGTCGGAAGCAGCCTCAGCAAATCATAGTCTGCCTCGCGACAGAGCCCTGAGTCTCTCTTCGGAAAACGGACCCTCCCATCCGCTGACTCCAAAAATGTCTGCAAGTCCGCGATGCGAAGAAGAGGTCCATGACTCCTGACTTGGCCAGGGTCATATGGTACATACATCCTTTCAATGGAAGCAACGAATGTTGAATGTCCCTGGCATGTTCGATAGAAAACAGGTATGGCGGTATCCCTCCCATCTCTCATATCGTGTCCACATTCCATCAACACGATATCGTGCGATGGGCACTCCTTATATTGTGTCCACATGTTGTGAACACTGGTTCCAACAATCTTGTCACTATCCTTAGGAAGTATCCCTAAACTTTCCATTGTCTCTGGCGGCAACGCGGCTAAGCCGTGCGCAGCAAGAGCATGCGATTGAAAAGTAAAACCGTCATCTATGATTTTCTGCACCGGGTCACCAAAATAGACCCAGCCACGCGACGATCTCGCATAGTCAAAGCAATGCCTCGCGACGTACACAGCGCATGTGCCTATTTTCCCAGCAAATACATCCGTTCGGCAATTCCGGGTACTCCACGTGTCCGCACGGCTCAAAGCAGCCGGATTATCGCTGTCGTCGATCCCAACTACCAGCGGCTCAAGGCACGCAAAGGTCTCCGGAGTAAATCCTTCTGGGACATCATCGGAATGAAATTCAGCTCTGAGGAAATCGTTTGCCTGTTCAATCGTGCCTTCAGCTTGGCTGAGGCTGCTCAAGA